GGCTCGGGCCAAAAAAAGCTCGGGCTCGGCTTGAGCTTTTTTTTTTTCCGGCTTGACTCGTTGACACCACTACTTGTGATGTATTTTTGTTTTTCAATTTCATACTTTATATTTGAAACAATAAATTTACCGAAGGGTAATTAGCACATAACGTTCCTACATTTCACTGTTATTGTGGAAAATTTTCTTACCTTTTATTTTTTGGTATTTTCACTCTTATTTTCACATTTCATTGCGTAAAAGTCATTTTCATCGATTTTCTCAAATAAAAATTGTGAATTGATAAATATACCCTTCTATTTAAATAAAATAAAAGGAAAAAAGAAAAAATTAATTGCAATCATAGTTCTAAATTTCTTGAAAAGCACAAATGAGTCTCAAATAAATTATTAAAAGGGTAATTAGCACATAATATCCCTTACCTTTTACTATTATTGCAAAAAAGTCCATACATTTTAGGCATTTTCACCTTTAATTATACATTTAATTGCGCAAACTATCATTTATATCTATTTTCGTCCAATTTTTCAATAAAAGTTGTGAAATGATGAATGTACTCTCGTATTTAAATAAAAAGCTAAAGAACTAATTGCAATCATAGTTCCAAATTGTTTTTAAAAAGTGCAAACAAGTCCCCAATAAATTATTAACAAAAAAAAATTAATTTTTCAAAAAAAGTTCGAACGAGTCCCAATTCAATTTATTTAAAATTTTTTTAAAAAATTAAAAATTAAATAGTGCAAACGAGCCCAAAATAAATTATTAAAGAATTAGAAATTTTAAAAAAATATATGTTTTTATTTAAAAATGAGGGTACATTCATTATTTCACATTTCTTTATTGAAAAATTGGATGGAAATGGATGGAAATGATGGTTTGCACAATCAAATGTTTAATTAAAAGTGAAAATACCAAAAAATGAAAGGTATGAACGTTTTTCGTAATAACGGTGAAAGATAGGGAAATTATGTACTAATTACCATTTTAATAATTGATTCGTAATTTATTTGCGCTTTAAAAAAAATTGGGATTGTGGTTGCAATTAATACTTTTCTTTTTCTTTTTCTTTTTCTTTTTTAAATTTAAAGAGAGAGGTATATTCGTCATTTCATAATTTTTAATTGAAAAAATAGGTGAAAGGACCTTTTGCGCAATGAAAGATAGAAATAAGGGTGAAAATGCCCAAAAATAAAAGATATGTACGTTTTCCTCAATAACAATAAAATGTGGGACGTTATGTGCTAATTACCCTTATACCGAATTCACATCGATAAGTTACAATTATTGAGATTTATATAAAAAGAGAAAAAGTGCCCACCCTACTGCAAACACATGCCCACATTTTTATAGTTTTCATTCCAAGTAAGCTTTATCTTTTTAGGCATATCTATATATTCTCCATTATTGTGCACCGAACTGACATTAGCCAATCATCTTCTGATTTCATCAAGTTGACTGAATATGATCTTCAAACTTTCTTCCTTAGCTGAATCAACATTTTGGATATTGACAATTTAATCCTTGAACTTTAAAAATCTTCTTTTTAGCTATGTTTTCGTTCATTTCTTCTAAACTCAAATTCAATCATCTAGCTTTACCTGACAAACAATATATAC